GGGTTTCCACTCACTCACCCCGAGACCTTAGGAGAGTGCCCAGTTCCGCTGCCCTCAGTGCACTCGGTGCGCAGTGGGGATAACAACGGTCCCTGCCTCACAGGGCTGCTGTCAGGACCCAACGAGGCAGCACGTGGAGAAAAGCACAGCGCCCACACACACTGGCCGCGCGCGACAAATTCCCCTGGGGCCACCTCTCTCATTCCGACCATCACTGTCGCCACCACATTCCGGCCTCGTCCAGCAAACATCCCTTTACCTGCCCGACCATAGCATCCAGAGCCTTTCTGCCCTGGGGCCCCACGAAGCCATAGGGAGAAAAGCAATACGCAGAGAAACGCTGGCGGCCCTCCAGTGAGGCTTCGTATCTGTTGGGCCCTTGAGCAATTTAAAAAGTCTGCTCCTCTTCTTCCACGTGTCCCTCACAAATGCGTAGCAGGAATCTGACAAAGCGGTCAATCCGCACGTCCGTCCGTCCCCGTCCCCGCAGAAGAGCAGAGACAAAGCCCTGGAGGCCATCCGCGCACGGGCCGGCAGAGAGACTCAGAGGGAAAGGACACGACCCGGAGGGGCACTGACAGTTTGGGGAAGGGCCATTCCTCAAATCCACGGAACGAAACTCAAAGGGCCGACACAGACACAAATCCAACTGCTTAAGGATGATGTTAGAGACAACAATTCCGGTGAATTAGGTTTATGAAAGCAGAAAAGTACATAATAAATAACCCTGAAAAAGGAACTCCAGTAGTCGAAAATCCCCGAATGGAACAAATTTAAGTTTCCAATTAGGTCAAGTCAAGAAGCTATGACAAGAAAATCAACAGTTGGAAGAAAAACTGACGGACATGGTGGCAGGGAGTCCAGCCGCCCAGACCCCGCAGGCTGGAACACGACACAGGCCCAAGTGGCCGCTCGGAAGAAGCTGGAACAATGAACAGGGACGACAGCCTGGTACAGGAACATGCAGCTAACAGGAAACCGAACAGAACACGCCCACACCCCCAGGTTCTCAGGAGCAAGGATCTCCTTCACCGAAAGTTTAGTATCTAGTGACGAGAGAACTGAAGCACGAAGTGAGATGTGACGCCTAAGTGGCCGCTACCACCTGCTTTAACAAGGCCCATCCGTTCTCCTTTGAGATGAAGTTGGGCGACCCAGACAGAAGTCAACAAATGCGCCTAACCTGACAAGGCCAAGAGCAAAAGGGAATGGTTCTGCTTCAAAGACAGCTCCTGAACTCTCCGTCCTGCTCGTCTGCACCTTAATTTCTCCCAACCCACTCACTCTTGTCCAGCGGAACAGTCAACTCAAATGCAAACCACATGACTGAAATGATAAAAGCTAACATTTACTGCGTACTTAAGTGTCAAGCGCTGTCCTACATAACTTGCATGATTTCATTTCATCGCCACAGCAATGCTCTTTACAGAGGAGAAACCGAAGACAAACAGGTCACGGAACTGGCCCAGGGCCATGGACACAGCCTGTGCTGCAGCCAGGACACCCGGACTTCCCACTGCGAACGCCTGCCCTGCCTCCCCGAGCTGCTACTGAAAGAATCTCACCGGCCACCTGAGGTCTCCCCGCCCCCCCACAGCATCCTCAGGTCTGCCACGAGGGTTACCCTTCCACAGCCGCATTTACCATGTTTCTTGTCTACTTTTAATGGCAAAGCATCACCTTTAGGCACTCAACGTTCCCTTAATGACTGGATGACATGTATGTATCTTTCTTCCCAGGTAGACTGTAAAAAACTTTTATTAATCTTTACAGTTTTGGCTAATATGCTTGATAAATTACTGATTTAGCAAAATTCAATCCTAAAGCTTTAAACAGACTTCCGAACTCATCCACCTCTTCACATCCCAGGCCCTTGTTCCAGGTTCTGACCCTTAAATATACTAACTGCCTCGCTGGCTGGTGTGGCTCAGTGGTTGAGCACTGGCCTGCGAATCAGAGGGTCACTGATTTGATTCCCAGTCAGGGATCATGCCTGGGTTGCAGGCCAAGTCCCCAGTAGGGGGCGCACAAGAGGCAACCACACATTGATGTCTCTCTCCCTCTTTCTCTCTTCCCCTCTAAAAAATAAATAAAATCTTTTAAATATACTAACTGCTAGTTACCATTTATGGTAACCAGCTATTGAACAAACACTCTGCTAAGAGCATCTATTACCATACTGAATCCCAACAACCATAGAAAGTGGGCATTTTCCCTCTCCCTCACAGAGAAGAAATGAGAGGTTCAGAGAAGTCATCTAACCTTGAGCAAGTTACAGAACTAAGGCTGGATGATTCTAAGTCCTCGAGACTGGGTGGTTATACTGGCTCTGTCTCCTGCAAGTCTTCCATCCCCCTTAGAGGCTGAACCGCCTTCACGGTTCCAGGGGTCTTCCTGCTCTCCGGGTCCTCAGACAACACAGCAGTCTGGTGTCACGTTCGACCTGCTCCTCTAGCAAGCTCTGGCTGAATGACCCCCGGAGGGGTCGGCGCAGGCACTCTCTCTGGAGAGAGTTTCCCCTGGCACCTACTGCGGGACCACAGCAGTGCAATTCACTCCCACAGCCTGTGGCTCTCAGGCTGCGGTCCCCGAGAAGCTTTGTGAGGTCCCCAGAGTCAAAATCAGTTTCATAACCATTGCAAGAGCTGCGGCAGAGACCACATGGCCCACAAAGCTGAAAACGTTTGCTATCTAATCCCTTACGGAAAAACTTGGCCGACTTCTACTTCAGAGCATGAACTTTTCAAAAAACAATGCTGACAATTCTTTTTAAAATTACATTGTATTTTGCACCAAAATACACTTTAAAAAAAAAGGAACTTTGTAATGAAAACACTCAGAAGCCTTCAAAGCAAATCCTGAAAATAAACAGATACAATCCCACAGGAGGTCTATGCTCCAGCTCTTCCCTCTCATGACTTGATTTGATTACGACTTATCCAGGGCTACTCCCAAAGCCAAAAGTCCAAAAACAGACCACCGCTGCCAGCCACGAACGGATGGCTGGTGTAGTGGTATGGAACTACCCGCCAGGCCATGCACGACTAGAAAGCTGGACAAAACATATGGAAAAAATGCCTTCAGACGGTGGGGCAATGAGCAGAGCAGAACCATGATTCCTGCGAAAGGAAACAGGTAAGTCAAGTCCTGAGATCGCCCTACTCCCTGTGCCAGGGAAGAGGAAGCCAAGGAGAGCGCGCAAGTCCGGAAGGTCTGAGGAGCCACCGGCTGGAGTGCAAGAAGGCTGAAGCACCAGGGTTTTGCAGGCCAGAGCCGCGGGAGGGGGCCGTGCAGGGAAAAGTGCGTTGCGGGAATCTGCACAGGGGTCCCCTTGGGCCTGATGCTGAGGACGGAGCTGCTGACTGCGGGGAGCTGTGAGGCGAACAAGTCCCAGAATTCACACAGCACTGGAAGACGTTCAAATTCCATCCAGCAGAGCAGAGCTCGCACAGAACCCTCTGGAAAATCAACAGAGACTCCAGAAAGGCCAAGTTCTGTAACAAGGTTACGGTAAATTAGCCCTAAAGTAAACCTGCACTAGACTCGCCTAGCGGTTTTACAACCAGCCTGGAGAGGATCAGCCCGATCCACAAATCACCGCCTGCCAAAACAAATGTCAAAACTACTTCAAGAAAGGCGACAAAACCCAACCACTCGACAGCATACTGCACAGCAGTAACAGACAGAGATGGCAGAATCAGCAGAGGAGGATATTCAAATGGCTATGTAAACAGACTCCATATTCAAGAATGCAGAAGAAAACATGAACGTAATGAAGAGAGAAATGCAAGATAGAAATAAGATTCCATTTAACTCTTACGTCTTCTACAGCTGAAATATCCACCCCCTGAAATGAGAAATTCACTGGATAGATGTAACGGCAGATTAAACGTTGCAGAAAACAAGACTAGTGAACTGGAAGACACAGCAATGGACAGTATTCAAATTAAAGCCAGAGAGAAAAAAGACAGGGAAAAGAATCAGCCAAGCCTGTGATTTATGGGACATAATCAAGCAGTGTAACAAGCATGTAATTAGCGTCCCAGAAGGAGAGGAGGGAGGAAAAAACAGAAAAAGTATTTGAAGAAACAGTAGCAGAAATTTCCCCACATTTGATCAGGACTGTAAGCCCACACATCCATAAAGCTCAAAGGACACCAGACACAATAAACAAAGAAAATCACACCGAGGTGCATACATCACAATCAATTTACAAACACCAATGATATTAAAAAGAAAATGAAAAGATAATGCTAAGCCCTGGCTGGCGTAGCTCAGTGGATTGAGCACGGGCTGGGAACCAAAGTGTCCCAGGTTCGATTCCCAGCCAGGGTACATGCCTGGGTTGCAGGCCATAACCCCCAGCAACCGCACATTGATGTTTCTCTCTCTCTCTCTATCTCCCTCCCTTCCCTCTCTAAAAATAAATAAAATCTTTAAAAAAAAAAAAAATAATGCTGCTCCCTGCCTCTATACATAATATCAGATAAAAACAGCTCTAATCCAAAGAAAGCAAGTAACATCTTTCTAGATGCTCTGATCCAAAACTCTGGTTGAGTTCATCAAAGGCCTTCCTTTGCCAGTAGTGCCAGTAGCACAGGCTGAGTCTGTCTGTAAGGTAATCGGCATGGACAAAATGCAGCTAAGTTACCGGATTTATCAAATGCATTTGTATGCTATAAAGTTCCACAGATGCCACACACATTTGCTCGTGTGTTCCTTGAGGTCGGGAACTGTCACGTTTTAACCCACAGATTTCTAGTGCAGTTTCTAGTGGCACGTAACTGTTTGAACGCACGGGAACGGGCCGGTCCCATTCCATCCTCATACGTCACCCAGGGATGGGTGGAACGAGATGAGAAACCAGATGCCCAGAGGGACCGAATGACTGTCCCCAGGATGCACACGTGGTGAGCAGTGTCTCGCATCTCCGGGGTCACGCCACCACACCGGTTACCGCAAAGTAGACACGAAAGAAATCCATGTTCATTCTTACTTACTCTGAGTTTCCACAAGATCCAGAGCAACACTAGAGGCTGTGTCCATCCCAGTGTTGATGCAGTTCTGGAAGTTTTTTAAGGAGGAGAGAGCAGATTCTATGCCGCTGAAGGATATAAAACCAGTTGAGCCTGAATTTGAACTGGAACGTCCAGGCATCTTGAAATTATTACCTAAGTTTTCAAACACAATGAAACAAAATGTATGAGTCAGAATAAGTGCACAGGAAAATAAAACCGCTGTGAAACACCCATATGAATGTATCCAACACCCCACAGGGGCCACTCTGTTATGCGCATTCCATGTCCCTTGAGAGGATGCCAAAGCACTGTGCCAACAACTGGGCCGCCGACACAGATGCGCTTAACAAATGAACGGGTGACGAACTATATTCACTTTTTTTTAAAAAAAATAGACTTTATTTCTTTCTTTTTAGAGAGAGGGGAAGGGCAGGAGAAAGAAAGGGAGAGAAACATCAATGTGCAATACATAAGTTTATTGACTGCCCCTCAAACACCCCCAACTGGGGACCCAGCCTGCAACCCAGGCGTGGGCCCTGACTGGGAATCGAACTGGCGACCTCCAGGTTCGCACGCCAGCACCCAATCCACTGAGCCACACCAGCCAGGGCTGTCTTCACTTTTTAAAGGAGAAAGAAGACTCTCTTCCAAAAGAGTCCTTGATTCTCTGAACAAATGAACAAAAGTACAGTTCTTAAAAACTTAAAACGCAAATGGGTCAGAAAAAGTAGACTGCTCATTTGATTCACTTTTCTAAACAATAAAAATAATATAGTTCGAAAATCTGTAATTTTCACTTACCTGACTCACATACATATTGAATTCTGAAAACTCAAAAATATGTATTCCCGAAAGCTTGTCTGAGTTCTGAGAGATTCACAGATTTGCTGAGATCCCAGATCCTGTTTCCGTAAAAGGGGAATTTTCTACAAACTCCGATCTTCTGATAGCTCACCCACTCTAACAGTTTCAGTTATTACCTTCATATTAAATGCTCCCTAATCTGTATCTCCCGCTACCGATTCTTTCAGCGCTGGACCACTTATGGACAGCTGCCAACAAAAAAAGGCATCTTTGCTTCATTCCGAAACCACCTGTCATTCAATCCACTGAAACAAACTGGAAAAGTAGAGAAAAGATGCACACAGGCCTAGAGGGATGGGAAGGCTGTGTGGCAGCGGAATAAAAGGTATTTACTTAGAATCATAGAGACGCAGCAAGAATCCTGGCTCTGCTACTTGACTGCCGAGTAACCAGGGCAGACTGCCCAAACCCCTCCGAACCTAAGGTTCGCTGCTTCACAATGGGAAGGGATTATCATCAGTGTGGTCCAGCACACAGCGCACTGCTAATTAGCATCAGGACATGCCCTTCTGCCCTTCCTTCCTTCCCTCCCTCAGGATCTGCCTAGTGAATCTCTGGCATTTCCATGTTTTCCACTGCCACCGCCTTTATCTCACATCTGGGCACAGTAGTTTTTAAAGTACTGGTCCTTTTAATTAGATTAATTTATTCATTCAACAAAAGGTATTGAGTGCCATACTGTGAATCATTTTTTTTAAGCCACATTAAAAAAGACTCATTTAAAAAAGACACAGGGCCCTGGCCGGTGTGCAGTGCTGTTCAGTTGGTTGGGGCTTCCTCCCACAGACCGAAAGGTCATGGGTTCAATTCCTGGTCCGGGTGCGCACAGGAGACAACCAATAGAGGTTTCTCTCTCACACTGACGTTTCTCTGTTCTCTTCTCTCCCCGCTCTGTTCCCCTTTTCTCTCTCTAAAAGCAATTTAAAAAAAAAGTCTTCAGGTGAGGATTAAAAAAAAAATGACACAGGAGGTGCAAAGGGAAGGGCACAGAGAAGATGCCTGGACACTGATTTCCATTTTTGAGGTGTCAGTCTACTACAGACAAACATCCATACCAGAACTTGTCAACTCAAATCACTCAGTGAACAAATATTTACTATTTTTTCAAGCACAGTGTATGGGGTTGTCAGTCCTGAGAAAAAAGACAGCTACCAAGAAGAGACACCGGTGGCTAGCTGGACTTAAAACGTAAAAATGGCCCAGCAGCCATTTCTTGACAGGGTCCTCTCGTGCAAACTGGGCCTCAAGGAGGGGCCCGCGCTGAGCTGCCTGCCCCGCACTGAGATGCCTGCCAGCACTGTGCTCCTACCATGAGAGCCAGCCTTTATAACTAAGTTCCTAGCATTGTGTTTCAACCAACAGGACTGAGACTTCCCCATCCAGTTGGAGCCATGCAGCTGTATCTTCACTGGCATCTTCACCAGCCAATCAGAGCAGCTCCGTTCCGACCAGTCAGGGCCAGGGCCTTCTCTCCACATAACTCAGCTGCCCTGTGGCTTGAGAGAGCACGCTTTCCCTACCAAAGACTAAAGACTGCTTTCCCAGCTGGGACGGAAACACCGAAGACGCCTTGCTGGAGCAGACCTGCGCAGAGCAGGAGTGGAGCAGGGCAGAGGGGAGCAGGCTGACCCAGAGCAGAGCGGGGCCACCCAGCCAGAGGGGGCCTTGCCCCACAGCCGCCAAACAGCTGTGCTCTTGCATGATTGACCTGTGACACCACTGAGCTGTTCCACACGCTCCTCTCACGGCCGTGCTGTATCACAGGTGAGCTGTTCGCACTAATACAGTTTCCGTCTTCACTGTACCACAAACTGGGGGCTCCTGTTGGCCCTGAACGGGCACGAACAGCCATCCGGGGACAGGGGCTGAAGTGCTGGATGGAGAATCCATGCAGTTGGTCCTGGGGTGGTCGACAGCCTTGTAGCTTTGTCTGTCTTTTTTAACTTATCTTAAAGGTCAAGACCTCAAGTAAATGGGGCGAAATGTTACAGATGTTAAATCCAAATGATGGAACCAGATCCTGGTTATGTCCCTTTCTGGAACTTTCTGAGGGGTTAACATTTTATACCGAAAGAAAGAAAATATGATTATGAATAACCAATGATGACTGTTGAATACCAGCATTTTGATGAGAGTGTTACATGCAATCTTACTTCATTACAACAAACGAATCAAGATGGCTTATACAACGTACATACAAACACACACACAATAAGATGGGAAAAGATGAATTCATAGAAAGCCAAATAAAAGCACAGACGGAAGAGAAGAGCAAGTGCGTGAGAAAGTGGGGACGCAGCCCCGGGCTCTGGGCTCTTGGGGACTCGACGCAGCAGGATGCTGCGACCCGGGTCTGGCTGCGAGCGCCCCGACAGTCACACAGGCCTGGCACAGACAACGCCCCTTTTACTGCAGAATCACAAACACGTGATCCTGTAACGTAACAAACAGCATCACACTCAAGCACACCACATGACATGTTAGGTGAAGTGTTCAAACTAAAACTATAAATTATTACGCCCATATTATTGCCCTACCAACCACACTCACGCAGGAGTTACTTCCCCCGGACCCTGTACAAACAGCCAATAGAGACATGAAAAGATCTAGCTATTAGAGAAATTGACATCAAAACCACAATGAGATACCACCTCACACCTGTCAGAATGACTATTATCAACAAGGCAAGAAATAACACGTGTCAGAGAAGTTTTGGAGAAAAAAAAAAACCCTTCACTGCTGATGGGAATGTAAATCGATACAGCCACTATGAAAAACAGTTATGGAGGGTCCTCAAAAAATAAAGAATGGAGTTACCACATGACCCAGAAAGCTATCTTCTGGGTATGCGCACCAAAATTTTTAAAATTTTTACTCATAAAGATCTATGCACCCCTCTGTTCACTGCAGCATTATTCACAGTGGCCAAGACATGGAGACAACCCAAGTGCTCTTTGATGGACAGCTGGGTGAAGGTGCAGCACTACTCAGCCACAAGGAAAGATAAAACACTGCCCTTTGTGACAACATGGATGGAGCTTGAGATGATCATGCTAAGTGAAGTCAGACAGAAAAAGTCGAAAACCATGATTTCACTCATGTGTCCATGTAAAACTGAAAGAAGCAAATGAGCAGAGAAGGCAAACGAAAGCTCAGACACGGACAACAGTGCAGTGGGCACCAGAGGGAACTGGGGGTGGGGTGGGGTGGAGGGGGTAAACGAGCACAAAGTGGGCCACATGCAGGGGCCGGCACAAGTAACGGCCCTTTTTTTAAAAGCACAAAATCTTTTATCACAAAACCACAAGCATGTAATTCTGTAACATAACAATAGCACGCTCAAGCACACCATGGGATGTTTTAGGTGAGATGTACTATAAATTATTACACCCATATTTATTATTGCCCTTCCAACCCCACACACGCAGGCACAAGTTAGTTCTGCCGGACCCTGCGTATGGTGACAGAGGACAACTGTGTGTCGTGAACACACAATGCAATATACAGATGACGTATTATAGAAGCACACACTTGAAAGCTACATGATTTTATTAACCATGTCACCAAAAAAAAAATTATTAAATTTTTTTAAAAAGTGAAAGTTACAGGATTCTCCTTCTCCATAAAAGAAAGAGCACACTGGGAATTCAGGGGAGTGCGGCTGTCCGTGGCCACCAAAGCAGCAGGGATCATCAAGTGTGACGCAATAAGAGTCACACTGGAAAGCATCCTCAATAACATCCTTACCATAAACGTAACAGTGAGCCTCCTGGGACTGCTCCTTCGATTCCTCCTCAGGGTAACTGAGGACGGGCACCTGTGGCCGACACTGGCTCGGCGCCCACCAAACCCACGTCCTCTTCCACCTGGGCACACAGCTTGACCACAGTTAGCAGCCCTCCCGGCAGGTGGGTGTGGCCATGCGACTCAAATGATACATAAGCCACTTCCAGGTCCACTCCACAGAAACCACACGCCTTCTGCAGGCTCCTTCCCATGGTGACAGCTTGAAGGAGGCAAGAAGTGACCTCAGAAGCCATATACCGAAGATGGAGAACTACTTGGGCGAAGCCGAGGACCACTGTTTGGAGGAAAACTGCCCTCTCATCAGGCTCAGTGCATAAAAGAAACGAAAACCTCAATGGTGCAAAGCCACTGAGATTTGGGGGTTTACCCAAAAATCACAGACCTGCACAGATCAAACGATATGGTTCAACGATTCAGTTTTCTAGTCAGTGTTGATTCTAAATCATTTAGACCACTGCTGTCCCACACAACTTTCAGGCGTGATAAAAATGTTCTATAATCGCCCTGTCCAATATGATGGCCACTAGGCACATGGGCTATTCATGACCTGAAATGTGATTAGCATGACTGAGGAACTGAGTTTTAAATTTTGTTTAATTTTAATCACTTTAACTTCAGACAGCCACATGTGTCTAGTGGCTGCTGCACTGCAGAGCACAGTTCTAGAGGCACAGTCATCGAAGTGAGCTACATACGTGACCCAGGGGCAAAGCCGCAGTATAAACAGAGCGTATCTTGTTGCAATCTCAATTTTACTTAAAGGTAACATGAAATATGTTTGCGTTCAAATAAACATTAGCTGCATCATGGAGCAGAATATGCAGGCAATACTGAGTTAAGCACATAGCCTTGGGAGCCAGGCTACCCAAGTTCAAAGCCTGATTTTGCTGCCTACATAGTTGAGTAACTGGAGGCAAATGACCATAGGCAAATTAGTTAGGTTCTCAATGTTTCACTTTTCCTTTCTGTAAAGGAGGGATGATCTAGTGCCTACCTCTAGCATTACTGCAAGGACTGGATGAGTATAATATCCATATAATAAAACACTCAGAACCCTAGCACATAAACCTTTTAAAATGGGAACAGACATTACCATCCACTTCATCACTGCAATGCTGTGACAGTGACAACATGAAGTAGTGCCTCAGGGAAGAGATAGCAGACACAGGCACCTGGGAATTCCATCCTGGCATCCAGATAAAGCTGCACAGCCTTGCTTAAGTTGCTTACCTTCTCCACCTGCACTTTGCTCTTGCATATAAAGCAGGAAGTCACATCTATCTCACAGTATTATTAAGGATAAATTCAATATTGTAGTTTTCTCAAACTTCTCTGATCTCAATCAGTGGAAATACTAAAGCTACAGATTTATAGATACTATCCCAGACCTAGAGATTCAGAGTCTCTAGTGGACACACTGAGAAAACTATATTTTCAGGAACCACCCCCACCCCCACACCCGAGGATTCTTAGGATCAAAAAGTATGGAGAACACTGAGATAACTGTGTCGTCCCCCACCCAGTTCCCATGTTGTCCCCCACCCAGTTTCTATGTTGAGGTCCTAACTGAGGTCCTACTCAATGTGATGGTGTTTGGAGATGAAACCTTTGGGAGATAATCGGGTTTAGATGAGGTCACTAGGGTGCATTCCCACTCATATTCTCTCTCTTCCCCCTCTCCCTTTCCCTCCCATCTAAGGACACAGCAAGAAGGGGAAGGATGCAAACAGAGAGCCCTCACCAGGATCCAACCATGTCGACACCTTGTCTCCAAAAACTGTGAGAAATAATTTTCTGTTGTTTAAGCTACCAGTCTCTGGTGGTTTTTCTTAAATAGCAGACCAAGCTATGGCACAATGTATGTAAGGATTAATATAATTCAGGATAAATGGAAAGTATGTGCCACATGGTAGCCTTTTTATGTGAATGCAAAATTCACATTGCTCCCATCAAACTTTATGCTCGCAGAGAGCTAGGGAAGACTTTCTCCTGTAATTCTAGAGTATCTCAAAGGAAAAGATCCCCAGTGGGAAGCAAAGAGAAGGGGTGCAGCAGAGAAATGGGGCAGACGCTCTTCCCCATTCCTCCCATGAAGGGCAGCTAACTACATAAGTCACGGGACAGCCCCCAAACAAAAGGATTATCTGGCCATGGTGTCGATGGTGCAGTGGTTGAGAAACCCTCATTTAAACAACCTCTTGGAGCCTTCCCCAGGTAACAACAGTCTTTTTGGCCCCTGTACCTACGCTCTTCAAGAAAGTTTAAAATAAGGTTACGCCTTTCCTGACTTTTTCCCCAGCATGTATTTTTGCCTCCCCTAACAGTCCTTGTCTTAGGCTATTCCAAAGGCTGTTACAAAACACCAGACTAGGTAGCTTATAAGCAACAGAAATTTATTTCTCACAGTTCTGGAGTCTGGGAAGTCCAAGATCAAGGTGCCAGCATGGTCCAGTTGAGGTGAAGGCCCTTCCTGGTTCATGGCCCTCGCCTTCTAGCTGTCACTGTAGAAGGGACAAGCGGGCTCTCCGGAGTCTCTTTTATAAAGGCATGAAGCCCATCCAAGAGCTCCACCTTCCTGACATAAGCACCACCCAAAGGCCCCACCTAATAACACCACCCTGGCATTAGGGTTTCAATTTCCGAATGGGCGATGGGACACAAACATCCAGACCCTGGCGGGTCTAAAAGAGTCTCTGCAGACAGGACCAACCATCAGCTAATGTAAAAAGACTTCTCTCCTATTCCTTCCTCTCATCTTTCTGTACAGCTCAGCGGTGTGCAGGGAAAAAAAATTTATAGACAGAGTGTGCTGGCTTCCTTTAAATCCCTGGGGACCTGTGTGAGTTTAACCAGAGCTACGTCTCAAGATGCAAAGATACATCTTCCTCTTTGAAGCCTTCCCTCATCCGTACCAGCAATTGCTTGTTCCCTGCCTCATGTTACTACCGTCTCTATATTTCACACTCACACACACTCACTAAAACTCATCGTAATTATTTGCTCACACGTCCGCCACTCCGCCACCCTGGGGAGCAACTTAAACTAGCACTCTGAAATATTCTACAGCATATAAGGCAGTTCACGCGAAACGAGCGATCGATGAAGATTTGGAGACAGTAAACACAGCAAGCACCCCTTCTAGGTCCCCTCCAGGGTGCCATAAGCTGGTGCCCGGGCGCTTCCTTCCCATCATCTCTCATCCTCACAAACATGTACCGTGAGAGAAAAGGACCCTGAGGCCCAGAGAGTTTATCGAGACGATCTGCCCGAGGCCCCGGTTGAAAACCAGATATATATGGGTCAAGAGTGCGTGATCTTTTCCCCACACGCGCACGGCTGAAGGAGGGAGCGATGGGGTCTCCGAGGAGGAGGTAAATCGCCGCAGCAGCCTCCGTGCAGCGGCGTGAAAAGAATCAGGACCGTCGCCCAGGTCAACAGACCCAGCTCGGGAGGCCCACGGAGGGCCGGAGAGGGAGGCGCCCCTCCCGCCGAGCTCCCCAGCGCCGATGCCCGCAGCCGCCTTACCTGCCGCCCGACGCAGCTCCGCCCGACTGCACCGTGACTTCCTACCGTCGGACCCCAGCTCCTTCCTCAACTCTGTTCCCCAGTTGCAGAAACTGCGAGCGCGGGCTCGAACGTCATCAGCCGTCGCCCGCCATTGGTCACGTGGCGCCCCGCCCTGCTCCCCGCCCCCCTGTGGTCACGTTACCGCCTGGAGAGCCCGGGGCGGAAGCTGGGGTCGGGCTCGCTCCAGGTTGAGGACTGAGCGTGGGAAGGAACCCTGCGGAGAGGCTGGGGTGCAGACCCCGGTGCCGACTCTGCGCGCGATCGGCGGCCCCACTCCGCGCCCCGGCGCGCGCCGGGTGACAGGTCAGTTGGGTGGGGTGCACGCGCGCCCTCCTTTCACGTCCCCCTTCCCCTCTTGGGCCGCGCGGCCGAGGGGACATCAGAGGCGTGGGATGGGGTGTGGATGGGAGAGCCTGGCGTGGAGGACTGAGGGGCTCCTGGGGGAGCGGGGGCTACAGCCCAGGCGCTCACCTCCACGTAGATGGACCTAATTTTCCACGCCGCTCTGGCGCTTTAGGAAGTGATGTTCAGGGACTTGGCCCGCATCTGAACCTTCCAAGTTTTCGGGAGCAGTGCTGTGTGGACGTCGCCATTCCTCTATTTACTCTCCAGAAAACTGAGTGGTTAGTGAGTGTTTTTACAGTCTGACGGCCCCGGGTGTGAATTCTAGTTCTGCTGTGGTCTGTGAATTTGGGCAAGTCGTTGTTGCTCTCTGCACCTGAATTCCCTCACCCGACATGCTGGTGCGGAGTCTTTTGCAATTGGAAAAAAATGTTTCGAGGATTCTGAGTTGTGGGTGGTCTTACAGTAAAAAACAAGCAAAAACCCTTCCAGAGCCCTCCTGTTTCCGAATGCACAGAGCTCCCTGCATGACAGGTGAGGAGGTGGGGGCAGAGGTTTTACTTCCTCTGCCCGCAATAAGAAACAAACACCTTCCCGTCTTCCTTCTGTCTTTTCCAGGATTTATGAATCAGGCTAGAGTGATCAGGCTGATTTCAGAATTTTTCTGGAAAGAGATTCGGGTCACTTTTATCTTGATCAACAGCCATTCCTCTTTTTTGCCTGATGGTGGATTGGTGGAGACCAGTACTGCCTTCTCTGTAGAACTGAGGTTTTATGACAAGATAAAATTAGTCGTGTCTTTTGTTGTCCTCTGAGTAGGGTCGACAGTGGTGTGTCCCAAGACAATTTAATGTCCCTCAGAGTTGAGTTCTGTATTCATTGGGTAATTGATAAGATGATGTCATGCTTCATTCTTGAAAGCAGGTTGTCTTTTGCCTAGGATCATGTTCCCAAACTGAAAACACAGTTTCATACCGAATTCCTAAAGATAAAATAACAATTACTTTTCTGGGTACCTTGTAAAGGACACTTAGGAAATCGAGGGGGGTCTCTGGTTTCATTTCACACCAAATAGTAATACAGACTATATTGGAATGTTCTTCGTTCCTAGCACCAGTAGAACCAAATGGAAGACTTAATATAACTTCTGCTACAGTGTTTATTTGCATATCACTCTACAGTGATTTTTTTCTTAAAGATGAACTAAATCTTAACACCTTCTCCAAAGCCACCTCTCTCTGAGTTCATTGCAACACGGTTGGGCATCTTTAATGATGGTCTTAAATTCTGTTCTTTAGGGCCAGTTTTTCAGCCAATAATTGGGTATTTACCAAATACTCCAGCCAAATAATATTTTGAACATTACCTACAGTGTAACTCTTGAGTAAGGATTTAAGGTTTAAAATAAAAGATGCACACACAAAAGTCTTGACCTAAGTCATTACCCCAGGGCTAAGGCAACCTGGCCATGCCATGTGCATGCAGGTGCTGAGTGTATCTGTCCATCTTTTAGGGGTTAAAAAGAAGGCAGGTAATGCTGTTTTCTCCGTGGCACCATTCACCATCCTATGCTACTATCCAAAATCTGGTAGCAGGCAAACTTGCTCATCACAGTTTGCCCTCCAGGTCGAGTCTGGAGTTCCATGCTGCTGAAACCTGGGTTAGTTTGGTGGTCTTCAGAGGACCTCAGTGGGTGACATTTTGCCCATTGTTTGCTATTTTTCCCCTTTTTATTTCTTATTCTCCAAGCCAGGCCATACTAGTGGCTTAATAAGCACGCATCTGGAGAAAACTGGAAGGACTTGTTAATCATGTGTGCCTTCACACGTGTTGCAGGACACTCTTGTGAGAGAGCGTTCTAGACAACTGCAGCAGCTTCTCAGCCACTCTCCGACCCAAACCCATCTGCCTGCCCTGATCTCAGCTTCTAACCCTTGCCCACTCTGCAGTAACCACCTCAGCCAGATCCTGAAATTCTTCTGGCACATTCCTGCCCTGGGGCCTTTGCACTTACTCTGTCAACTTCTGCCTGGAATGCCTTTTCCCCAGATTATTGTCTATTGTAAAAAAAGAAACTATCCCAATATCTAGTGGCTTAAGACAGTAAGTATCTGTTACCTTGTAGTAGTTTCTGTGGTCAGGAATTGGGGTATGGCTCAGCTGGGTGCCTTTAGCTCAGGCTCTTTTGGCAGGTGACAGTCAGTCTGTGAACAGGAGATGTTGTCCCTTCTGAAGACTCGAATGGGGTTGGGATCCATTTCTCAGCTTACTGGACAGGTTGTTGGCAGGCCTCTCAGACCCTTGTCACATGGGCTGCTGCACAGGGTCCTCCCTCAGCATGACAACCTTCCCCCAGACAAACAAGCTGGAGAGGGTGGCCAAGCTAGGAGTCACGGTCTAATTGTAATCTGACCTCAGAAGTCATGTCTTTCAGCCTGCCATCCTCTGTTCTTTAGAAGGGAGTCAGGAAGTCCATACCCCAGGGAAGGGGCCTGCACAGGTCATGAGTAAAGAGGTAGAGGTCGTTAGGGACCATCATAGAGGCTGCTGACCACACTCAGACTGCCTGCTCCCTTACTTCTGATTCCTGCTCAAATATCATTTTGTCAGGGAGACTTTCACAAATCACTCGATGTGAAATAGCACGCACTCCACCCCTTCATTGTGCTTTTTCTTCGCAGCAGTTATCACAGCCTGATTTTATGGAGATAGATATAGATACATAGATACAGATATGGTCTCCTGTTAGCTCTTTCCTACTTCCAATAGTATGTAGGCTTCATGAGAGCAAAACCTTGGTTGTGTTCACTGTGCTGTCCTCGGGCCCTAAAACAGTGCTTGGCCCCTAATAGGCCCTGGGCAAATATCTGTTGCATGAATGAATCTGTGTCATCAGGAATGCTTCCACTCGCAAATAATCCAAAACTCAGTTAACAGTAGATACACCATAAACACAGGTCATTTAACAAGGATTACAGAGGTAGGCAGTGCCACAGTCGAATCAATGAATGAGTATCGTCAACAAGAATTCAGTCTCTTTCTCTTCTTCCACACCACAGTCTGCAGGTTGTTGGCATTTTCTCCTAGGCATCTCACCTCGTGGTCTCAAGGTGGCTGCCATGGCTTCAGGCATCCAATATTCACTGAGCCAGATTCAAAGGCAGGAAGAAGGGGGATAGCCAGGGCACAGAGGGAAATTTCTCTCCACGTGCCTCTCTCCCTGTAGGAGGAGGAATAAATATTTCCTAGGAGTCCTACCATAGACTTGGTTGTGTATCTCGTGGGTCAGAACCGGGTCACATCTCACCCAGCTCCAGGGAGGTGGAACGTAAGAGTGCAAGTGTTGGGAGCGACACGGGCGTCCATGACGTGGAAAAGCAAGCCAGGCTCCCTGAAGCTGACACATACTGACCTATAGCCAAAGTCACGGAGAGGAGAGAAATGCAACAAGGATGATGACACAAAGTAACACTTCAGAAGATAATGATTTGAGAAAGAATCGGCAGAGGACTTTGGGAAAATGAGTGATGCCTTGAAACTGTTTTTGCAAAAATTACCTCCTTAAAGATCAACCATGAAAGTCAACTATGAAGTATAAGATACTGTGTTACCAAAAATCACAGCTTGGTAAAATGAAGTGTTGACCCGTTAACAGTTTGTCCATTGAATTAGAACATCGTTGTTGCAATTTTACTCCAAATTTTCCTAAATGTAAAACTCACTTTCATCCATTTCAGTTATCATGTTTTAAGATACATTCCTAATCACACTTGTCTACTGCTTAGTGTGAAATATTTGTCCGTCCTTTAGAGTCACGGTGTGACCTTTCTCAGGCGTGGACTACACTTGATAACAAGGACTTCTATACCTAAGACACGAGAAAACCATTTTACAGGTGTTCCCTCAGCCAGTTCTCCTGGATCTACCTTTCCCGGGAGCTGGAACAAGTGGCACCGTTCCTGTGAGGGAGATGCAATGGTCAGTGCCCAGTTGCGGGCACATTGGACCCGCACACGCTCAGTGGTCCCTTCCCCCAAGCTCAGAGGTAGTAGCTACATGGGGTCTTCCCTTGTGGGGCGAAGTGAGTGAAGAGTTGGGAAAGAGGCCAAGAGTGTTCATTTATCAAAGCCCTTCCCCACAGAAAACAGAAAGAGTGGAGAATAAATGCCCCCCCCCATCAGAATTCATCTTTCTCGTTTGCGTGTTTTTGAGGGAGGTAGGGAGAAAAACCTTGTGTATGTGTTTCACATGCTTCTTTGAAAAATGGAGATGTTTTGTTTTCTTTGCGGGTACAGTTTCTTAAATGGAGCTCACATCTGCCAGCAGACCTGGTTTCGCCTGACGATCCACAGACTGCAGCCCCGAAGCCAAAGCCGGTTCAACATTCGCAGCGGCCAGGCGCGGAGCGGTCCGTCCTCAGGATGCTGGACTTCCTGGCGGAGAACAACCTCTGCGGCCAGGCGGTCCTGAGGATCGTCTCCTGCGGCAACGCCATCATCGCCGAGCTGCTGCGGCTCTCCGAGTTCATCCCCGCCGTTTTCAGGTTGAAGGACCGAGCCGATCAGCAGAAGTATGGAGATATCATATTCGATTTCAGCTACTTTAAGGTAGCCCGCCCCCATAGCGCTGGGACCCTTGTCTTCCCTACGAAAGCATGCTCTCTCTGGGCGGTTAAGTCACTGTGGACGAAAAGTTAACTAGAAGAGATTTTTTAAACCAAATTCAATATCAGTTAAC